TATTTCTAAGATGATAATATGTAATCTATTAACTGGTGATTTCTTACTGTCTTTTTTTTTTTTTTTTTTTTTTTTTTTGTAGTTCTGTATTACGTGTACCCTTACACCACTTTGTTTTGTTCTGTGTTTTTCTCTTTTTCCTTTTAAATAAAATTAAAAAAAAACAAGTTGGTGATGACATAGGTGCTAAATCTGAATGGGTAAGGGTCTGCTTAAAACGTGTCATAGGATCCACAGGTGCTTCACATCAGACACAGAGTGCTTAAGCTATAAGCAAAATATCACCCATCGTAGAGAAACTTCACAACCACAATGTGAAAATCCAACTGACAACAAGATCAGATGAATCAGATATTGGAAATATGTGACAAGAACTTTAAAACATTCTTTATAAAAATACTTCTGTGAGCACTTATAAATTATCTGGAAACAATTTAAAATTCTAAACTTCAACAAGGAAAGACAAATTTTACAGAAAGACCACTGGAGATCACAAAAGGAAAATTATATGAATAAAAATGCAAGGTTGATCTGTTTGTTTGATATTAGAACAGGGATGACAAAGCACAAGTAGATTAGTGGGCCTTGAGGCCCGACCAATAAAATTAACTCAATCTCAACTACAAATTAGAATGAAAAAGAATAACAGGGCAGGAACTGATAGAAGAAAAACCAAACACTGAAACCATGGGTATAATACAACAAAAGAGATAATAGGTCTGAAAAATAGCAAGACTTTCTAAATTTAGTGAAAGACATAAGCATACAGATAAAATGAGTTAATCAAACCACAAATAAATCCAAAGAAATCAGTACCAGAATTATTGTTAATGACAAAGAAAAAGTTAAAACAATTCTTTAAAAGCATCCTGAGAGAAAAATCACACTGTTTATAATGGAAACATGATTTGAAAATCAGTAAATTTCTCAGAAATAGTGCAGATCAAAAGACAATATCATCTCTTAAATGATGGAAAGAATAACAAATTACAAATGCTTTATCTCAAACTATTCTTCAATAATATCTGGAAAATAATGAGAAATGAAGACTTTTTTTTTTACAGTAGTGTGCCTGCTTTTAAATATTGGATAAAGAAATCTCTTCAAATGTAAATGAAATGACAAAAATACAATATTACAAAAAAAGACAAAAATATAATATTACAAAGATGAAGTGATAAAAAAGCACCCCAAATGGAAAATGCAATAAACAATCTTATCCAAATATATTTTAGAAATTGTTGGTTTTTATTTTTAAAAATTTAAAATATCACTTTGTATTCAGAGGAATTACATTTAAGGGCCAAGGATGTACTTCAGGGACACAATGCTTGCCTGGCAAGTACAAGGTCCTGAGTTTGGTTTCCAGTACCAAAAAAAAACAATCCAAACCAAACCAAACCAAACCAAACCAAACCAAACCAAGACAAAACAACCCAAAACAAAAACCAAAAAGGTTTAAAAAAATTCAAAACAAGATGAAACTCTCAAAATATGCTCATGGTTATTGACTGATTTTTCATTACTAGGACACAGCACCGTACACTTAGAGTTTCAGTGAGGACAGGTTGACTTAGACTCCTGAATTTAGGGAACTCGGTCCATGGTTAGCAGGCTTAAAAGCAGGAGCTTCGTGGTGGAAGGGAACGGTGTGATGAAGAAACTATGGAGGTCTTCTTAAGTGCGATCAGAGCAGGGGAACCACACCAGAGAAGAGGCAAGGAAACACCTCTGGCTCCTAAGTTCATGTCCCCATGATCCCCCCCAACACTAAAAACATACTTTACTAGGTATCCAAAGGACTCCAAGACCAATACAGTTGACAATGCAGCTTAGTTGTTACATACTTCTCCATGTAATTTGATGCACAAACACATCCATTAAAACATACCTAGCCTTCAAATAAACAACAACATCACAGATCTGCCTAACATGTAGATCTAAAATACAAAACTCTATTCCTCAGTGTCTCAACAGTCCAGTGACTTGGGCTTGTTAAAACTCCCAGATCATTGTCCCCATGAGACTCGAGGTAAACTCTTAGCTGTGAAGCTCTGTAGAAATAAAAACCAGTTACATTATCTCAAGATAAAATGACACAGTGCAAATATCCCCATTCCCTCAAAAAGGAAGAAGAGGATGGAAAAGAATTAGGCCAAAGCAAGGTTGTCCACGCAAGGCAAACATTTAAACCCTTTACCTCTACATACAGCATTTGGGGCAAACAGACACATGCTGAGACACAAAGTTCCACAGGGCGTGGCCAGCTCCACATCTATTGCTTTCCTGATTGTAGCCCAGATGGCCTCCCTCTTTGGGTGGCTATATTCACTGCATGCAGCTTTCTCAAGTAGATGCTTTACATTCCGGGCATCTTCAAATTACTGGGATCTCTTCTGCATCTTTGGCTTCATTGCTACAGATTCATGCACTGCTCTTTCCTGGGCTCCTTTCCTGATTTCCAAGGTCTTTCCCTGCAGTCTAGGTGGTAGCCTTCCTGACACCACAACTCTTACATTCTGCATGCTGGCAAATCCAGCACCACATGGACAACTCCAAAGGCTGTTGCAGTTGGAAAAGCAGCCAGACTCTCTTGGACCATGGATAAGAACTTAGGTGACAGCATACTAAAACATCCTGGGGGAACAGTTTCCTTGGCTCTTATCAAACAGGCTTTCCAGAGCTCTATGCTCAGATGAAAAGCTTGCACTTTTACTCTCTTAATATCATGATGAGTGGGGCTGTGTTGATTTCTGAGATGCTGTAAAGGCATTTTTCTTTATGTCCCTGTACAAAATACTTGGTTTCTTTTAAATATCGACCATTTCTTGTGAAAACTCTTTTGGCCCTAACTTTGTGTGTGGTTTCATGTGGATCAATTTGTTTTAAATTAAATTTAAAGTTAATATCAACATTGTTCTGTACTTTATGGCATAGCATACAAGTGGTTCTGTAAACCAATCTCCTATTTTGAATTCTCACCACCTGAGGAAACATATATTTAAATTCTGGAGTTTAAAATGATATTCAAAATAATGTATATGTTCAACTGAGGAAATATAAAATAAAGAGATGAGTTGAAAAAATTTTAAAAAGCCATAGTTAGTTCTTCAGAAGGCTAAATAGGTAATTCAAATTAATAAAGTAATGTCCATAGTAATAAATATTTCAATAGAGTTCATAGTATATATGCTAATCTTTGTCATAATTTTGGAATTTATGTAGTAATAAAAATACAATGTTTTATTAGCCATTATTTACATTTCTAGTATTTTGCTAAATGGTATTAAAAGTTTAGATTACATTTAAATAAGATTCAATGATCAACTATCTGTGTAACTCATCGAACATTCAAAAGTCACACCAAAATTGGGGAGTTTTAATTAAATAAGTCAAATTATTGTAACAACAAATGTGTTCTTGCCTATTTAAAAAAAAACTCTCTGAGAAATGTGTAGGAGCGGACTCACTAAAAATACACATATCATGTGGCTTCATTTCCTTCCTTAGGTTCATGCCAATGTATAATGAAGGTATTCCTCATGACAATAGAAATGAATCGGATCTAAAAGGGCAAGTTGGATTTTAAAAAGTAGTAGAAGAAATTTCAAGCCCAACATGTACACTCACAAGTTCTATATCAATTAGAGCAATTAGAGTCAATTAGTCACTAATACTGGGACAAATCTTTCTGGTTGACCTAAGATTTTGTTCTTTTTGTCTCTGAAGTATCTCAGAAAATCTTTCACTTCTAGACAAAGCAGCAGGGATTGTTCTTACTGTAAATTTCACCCTGGCAAAATAGCATTTTATTATAAGAATTACAAAGTTAAATCCTAAGTGAGAAAACACTTAAACATCACTTAACACAGAATCAAAGGTGGGTGTTGCTGTGTTTGTGCTTGGATGCCCCTCCCCCCAAGCCTCATGCAATCATGGACACAGCTGAATCTGGCATTTCTGATTGGTTCATTATCTAGTGCTGGGATTAGTGGTGTGAGTGCTACACCTGCCCAGGGATGGAGCTGGCATACAGTGTAAGAGCAGGAAGAAGGTGTATCCTACCCTCTTTTGTTCTCTTCACTCTTGCTGTTTGCAGTGGCCATGATGACTTCCCTGCCATGCCATCTTGCCTTTTAGCCAGCTGAGTATGGACTTAAACCTCCAAAACTGTAAAAAATAAACCTTCCTGTGCCTCACTTTAGGCATCAGGTATTTAGTCTTAACAAGGAGAGTAAAGTAACTTAAAAAAGAGAAAAGTAAATCTCCCTGAAATTTAGGTATTTTATTTTAATTATTTCATTCTTAATAGAAAACAGAAAAATTAATGAGAGTTAAATACATACTTGATGTCAGGGCAAAATCTTGGATTACCTTTTACTGCATATTAAGTATATTAATGGCTAGTTTAAGAATAAAATAGAAAAGTAACAAAGGTAAAAGATAATCAGTATTCTTGTGTATATTAGAAGGTATGTAAAGTCCATTCTTTTTCTTTAATAACTTTATTGTATTAGAAACCAAGATAGAAGATATTAGTCATTGCAAAAATTTGCACAGAAAGCACCAAAAATAGACTGCAAGCTGTTCTAAGTCTCAAGTCTTTGGCTTTTTTGTAGCTTGTTTAATGGTTCTTTTGAATGAAGAAACAACAGGCACTGGAATAAAGACCAAATTTCTTGGGCTTTACTACTAAAATATGCAGCTCCTACATTATCTTAAATTATACATTTATGTTATTTGTCAAATGTACTTTGATGAGCACAAGATCAGAGAGAACAAGATTTTTGTACCAAATGCTATAGGAAATGAAAATATTTCACTGACAATATTGTATATCAGTTGAATTCATTTGTCCTATTAAACAGCATAGCATGTGACATTTAAGTGGGTTTAGTTTATTTAGGTTTAATACCATTTACCCCTACAGGAAAGGGGAAAAGGAGGACAAAGGTAGATACCAAAAATGCCTTATTAGACCTATTATCATCTTGTAACAGGAGCCTTGTCCTGCAGAACTCAACAGTTTGGAGTGGATTCGTATTTAGCAAGGATGGAAGATTACCTACTTGTTACTAACAGAAGGTGGCATCCAGTCATTAGCAGGCAGTACCACCAGGGAGAGCCCTCGGACAGTTGGAAGTAAGTCAGGATTGATTAAAAAATGCAGCCCAAACAGATACGCCCAGGCATAAATAGCATGCAATACACAACAGAAGCCTGCTTGTTTTTCCCAATGCTATGTCTATCTGGATTTATTTAAATCCCTTATCTACTGTGACAGATACACTAAGCAATTTAATATTGCTAACCCTGCTGAAGCAGCACAAGTTTCATTAAATTCCTTTTTGTTTTTCATTTTTATTCTTTGGAAACTCATATTGCAAAACACCTGTTATAAACACCAACTTATTATCTATGCCGCATATGTGAAAATTCTTATTTTTTCACATTTTCTTAATATATTACTTACAAATCTTTCCATTTTGTCAAAAAGTAGTATAGTTTGTCTGGACTTGTAAAGTCATCTAGAATTTGCTTGTCTACTAATTTTGATATCTTTAAATGGTTTCAAATGACTGTTTTTACATATTTTACATTCCCAGTTTCTATCATATTGTGTGTTCAATAAAACTATGCTGTAATAAAAATGTAACTTTCTTAAATTTTTAAATAACAAAGATTGAGCAAGTATTTAGAATATTACAAGACTTTCTGTTCAATAGATAACTAATATACTGTTTCCTTAGTTTCAAAACCTTAATATAAAATTAACATTGATTTCCTAATCTTATGCAGAAAATCACCTATGCAATATTACTATAGTCTAATTCCCAGGTGACTTTTTCTGTATATTTTTACATTTTACCTAAGTTGATTTACAAATATTTCAAAGTAAACTGATGAGTTTTAGAATTTTTACCTGAAACTCTCCAGTATCATTATAATTCTAAAACCTGACGGGAACCTAGAAAAATATACTTAATACTCTGTGATTATCTTTCCAGAACTTTCTACAAACCTTTGTACATCATATCAAAGTTGCATCCTTTAAATAATTCTTGTATATATTCAGTTCACTAGAGCTTTTTATAAAATCTCACGTGATGATGAAGATAAATAACATCACTGTAATTTTCTTTATTAAACAAATACATTTTTGCAAAAAGATTTCCCAATTTAGAAATAAAATTTACCACTCACTTCTTATAATACCTGGAAAATTGTCTTTCCAACTGAAATTTCATGGTGTCTCAGAGTTTGTATCCAATGATACAATTGCTAGGAATAAGTGATTTTTCTTTTTACTAATAAATGCCTCAGAGAAATAGAATGTAAAGGGAAGATTGACAAGAAGTATCATATTTTGTTGTTTATGATTGTCTTGCAAATGGATACTTAAAATAACGGATGGTATAATTTGTGGCCTGAGAGAATTTAACTCATTGTCACAATTTCATTTTCTAGAAAAGGAAAATGATGCTCTGAGAACATAAATTTTCTAGTGTTCAAAAACCAAAAATCAGAAAGTGAATTCAGATGTCTCTGGCTTCCTAGGCGTCCTTATTCAGTGATCAGGTAACAAATGGACCCCTCCCTTTTCATCTTTCCCCAAATTCTGTCATTTAAGGAATCAGGCTCAGGCCATGACAAGTGGCAGAGGACAGTGGAACCCTGAACCCACTGCCATACGGGGCAGGGCAGAAAGGAGTTACTGCCTGCTTGCTCTCACCATTGGAAAGAAAACAACAAAAGAATGAATACAATAATTAGCTCTTTCTTTTAATTAAAATTCTTTTAGTGCCTCCTTGTCAACATAGCTCTGTTTGAGCTTCGAGGCCAAAAGCAATCAAAGGAGCCAAACTATTTACCCTTAAGCCTTACATTCCAGTTAGCAAAAGTGATCATTTGATATTAAAAGTGATAGTTGGATCAAGAGAATGATGATGAGATACTGAAGAAGAGGAAAGAAGGACGGAAGGCAGAAAAGAGGAAGGAACAAAGGAAGGAAAGAAGTAAAGAAGTAAGGAAGGGGAGCAGGGGTAGGAAGGAGAAAAAGGATGAAACATAGGGGTTATAAGGAGTGGAGAAAGGAGCAGGGTTTAACTTTAAATCTCAAGGAAGAGAGCAGTAGAGGATGAGAGCCTGGTGGATGAGCATTTGCTCCTTGGGGCCTGTGACTGCCCATTTTAAGACTTTGGCTCTTTCTCCAGAATGATAGGTGGCCACTGGCGAGACCTGACCAGATCACTTCTACAAAAGGGAGAAGAGTGCAATGCAAGGCTGATCCAGAGGCTGCTGGAAGGAAGCAGACAAGATAGTGCTTGGACCGGATCTCAGGTATGGGACTGAGCAGAAGTGGGTTTTGATTCTGGAGGTATTTTCACTCTCAGGCTGACAGGGTGCTCTGAATTTTAATGTGAGGTGTGAAAGAAATGGAGGAATCAGAATTGAATCATGAACTCGAGGAAGCTGGTAAGGACCAAAAAAATCTGGAAGGAATTCAAGTTAGATAAACTTGTATTTCACAGCAAAATATCACTGAGGTCAAATTTTTCAAAGAGAATGTGTCGAACAGTTTTAAGGCAGTAGAATGTTTTTAAACAGTGGCTGGGCAGAACTTGATGTGGAAAGAGGATAAATGTTTCCTCACTCTTTTTGGAATTATCTCAAGCTCCTCACCTGTGGAGGAGCCTGAGGACATTGATGGGTCCCCTGCTGAGACCACGGAATTGCTTCCCACACAATTCCAGATTCAACAGATCCAATGTGTCTGATCCTTCAACAGTTCCTGTTATGTATGACTGTATAGGAATCATGTAAGTCTACTCGCTTCATTGACATAGACTAAACTCCATCCTTGGACTGCTGCCCCAAAGCAGAAAATGGAAATTATTGTTATGACTTTGATATAGATCCCCTGTGGGAAATTGCTTAAGGTGTGTAAGGCGATGCAGATGTTTGAGCAAAGATACGCACAAAATATTGAAAGCAGTTGGTAGTTTTTGTCAAACATGTGAATAAGATTTAACAGTAGCAGAGTTGATAGTTCTGTGTGAAGTATTTAGTATGAATTCATGCTTCGGCTGTGTTCTGAGAGTGCTAGCTTCCCACATTGGCCTTGTGTGTCTATAGATGTTATGTGTGAATATTATCAGGAATTTGACTCTAATATGTTTCTCATGGGACTATGTCACCCTCCATCCATCATGCGAAGCTGTGTTAAAGGAACACTGCAGAAATGGTCAAAAGAAAAAGCAAGGTTTTTCTCTTAAGGAGCCATGGAAAGTTGTATTATTTAGCTTATATGATACAATTTTATTTTCTTGGAGGCAGGAAGAACAGGCAGGTAAGAATGTGGTACATTTCAATTAAAATTTCATGTGAAGAAATCAATAACTTTCACATGATGAAATATAGTTTCTGTACTAATTTTCAGACATGAAACTCTTCAGTTATGGACTTCAGAATCAAAGTTACAGTAATACTTTTAGAGTTGTACGTTTTAACAGGTTGAATGTGACTATAGGTGTAACCTCTTTCTGAAGTATTATAAATGGTAAGGAAGCAATAAAATTGTACTATAACAGCATAAAACCATATAATCTGGAATACTGAGGTTAGGATTCATTAACAGGCCTAAGTGGTCAAGAAGTTTTTAAGAGGCAGAAACACTTAAAGATACAAATCATTCATGATGACATAGTTATGCTTTATGGCTTGATATTCTTCATCAGAAATAAACTGTAAATTAATTCATCATTAGTCTAGGTAATCAATTTTTCAGCTTTTGGTAATTCTAAGGGGTTCTTGTACACTTTTTGTTCTGCAGTGCAGCTGTAAGTGCCTGTGTGTAGATGGATTTCAAAATTTGGTTGTTTGTGCGTGTTTAAAATTTAAACACATTTTATTAGCTGTAAATAATGCTCAACCATCACCACTTAGAAGACTGTCTTCCTCAGCATTTTTAGTTCACTTTTAGAATCTCTTTTTCACTTTTAAAAAATCATCTATTTCTTTTTGTTTATTTCCTTCAATAAATTCCATACTCAACAATGCATCTTTCTTCTTCATGTCTACTCTTTAACATAACCACTGAGAACATTTGGTGTAATGATTACACTTTTAAATTCTGGAGTGTGTGATTTTTTTACATAACAATCTTTGTATCTTCAGTTTTGCTATTCATTCTTCAATTTTTAACATGTTAAATATAATGATTCTAAAATTTCAGATTTTTTTAGGTCTGGCATAGCATTTCTACTCTGACTTTTCCATAATTTTTAGAATGTGTATGTGAGGCTGAGATAATTTGAGTGCTTCTAAATTTCTGCGGTGTAAATACCACACGTGGATTTATTTGTCTTTATTGGGGTTCTAACATTTAATTTGCTTTGGTTTTGTTTCTTTTTCTCATCAGTGTTTTAGTTGTTATGCTTTTTATGCCTGTGTCTACGAATAGCTCAAATTTGACCTGTTAAATAGTGATAGGTGATCTACACCAGACTTCAGTAAGTAGCAGGATTATAGTAGTATGTGGAGTCAGAACTTTAAACTCCTATTTCATGAACAGGAAATTACTTTGTCTGATTAACCTTACTAGGGAAACTCAACAGAATTTCCCTGCCACAGACAGTCCTGAGGCATCAGCTTCGGTATGAAAGAAACTTAAATTTCTGCACATTATGTATGTGTCAGATTCACTAATCCTGTTATTCAACTTCAGCAACCTTTCAAATTTATCTTAAAGAGTTACTTTTCATTTCTCATATTTGAGAATCTATCATTCTGGCCTTTGACTTAATTATGTATTGTATATTATTGAAGACTATACAGAACACAAAAATTTCTATACAGTCTTCAATATGAGCATGAATGAAATACACATACATATACAAATACATATACATATATTATTGGTAATAAAATAGAAAAGAAATTATTAGGTGGTTTGAGAATAAAGAGAAGAGACATTGACTCTGATTATGTTAATATTTTTTGTAAATGTTATAACAAGTGTGAACAACTGAAATTGGAAACATGAGAAATTTAGATTGGGAGGAATATAATTTTCATTTGTATATACGATATTGATTGGGATGCACTTGGGATAAGGAGACATAAGGAGACAAATTTACATGTGCTCTAATTCTCAAGAAGAGAGTTTAACTGGATACTGTTTTTACAAGTGGAAATAACTTGTACTTCTTTTTCTTTTTTGCAGCTAAACAAGTGAATAGGCTAAATGACCTATAATTTGTACTTACCTATCTCTGTACAAAAGTATACATTTAATATATATAATTAGAGCAAATATTTCATCATGTTTAACTTTCTGAGTCTAAATTAGCAGGCTCATAATTAACACATAAATTCATAGGATTCAAAAGAATGGAAAGAATGAATTCAAAAGAATGAAGAAATTGGAGAACTCATACTAGTAGATAAATTAAAATTCATATAAAAGATTCAGACAGACAATGTTGTCACAAGGATCGAGCAATCAAGAATGAGATTTGGACATATATTCAGATTTTTATTTGTAATGGCTGTGAACTGGTGTAGACTGGAAAGCATGAAGTTTTCTGTAATGGTGCTGGATCAATTGAATATCCTCATGGAAAAAGGAAAATAGGACTATTTCATACCTTTCAGAGAAAATCAATTCCAGATGCATTTTACATTAACTGTGAGATGTAAAATAACACCAGTTTCACAAGTGCATTAAAGAATATCTTCATAACTTTGGAATACCAGGATTTCTTAATCAGCATTCAAAATATACAAGTCAGACACATATGTATGTGTTCCAATACCTCAGGATAAACATACTCATTGTGCATCATGATCCTAATACAAGTTAAAAATATGTATTAATTATAACAAGAACACTTGAACAACTGGAAGATGTTAAAATTAAAATCCTCCTCTCCAAAAAACTGTCATAGAGGAATTAACAGAGAGTCAAGATTTAGAAGGTATTTTCAAAACATCTACTTGAAAAAAATTGGCATGAGGAAAGTGTAAGTCCTTAATAGAAACTTTAAGGAAGTAGAAAAGCCATTTTTTTGTAATGGGCAGAGGCTTAGATGCTCAAGTTATTAAAAGGAATGTCAGACCTGCTGGGCAAAACGTGCTTCCTTCCCTTAGCTATCAGAAAACTAAAAATTAAAACCAAGATGCCAGGCCACGACTTACCCACCAGAAAGTGTAACACAAACTGTATAAAACCGGACAGATAATTCTTTTCAGTGGAAGATCTGAGCAGTACAACCTTTTTTTTGGTCTGTTGTTTTCCTGAAATTCACTTGTGGCTTTGCTTAAACTACTTCCTTGTGTAAATTCAGGACACTGCTCCTCCAAGCTTCTCGTGGCTCTTGATTACCAGCAAGAGACTTGGAATACAGAGACCGGAAACAAATCATGGCTCCTCCTGCTGGGGTTCATCTTCACATGACCAGTGATACTCATCATTAATATTTTCCACTCTAAATTTTCTCCTCATTCCCCTGGAACTACAGCTTCAGGTATCACCAGCGATTTATCTGTTAGTGTGATCTCCAAGGGCCCTGGAGGGTCACACCCCGCATCCCCTGATAAGATTGTGGGGGGCAGTCACCTACTGCTTGTGAGATGCCAAGTGGGAAAATTGCTTTGGAAGGCAGCGTGGCGACTACGTGAAAATCTAAACATATCCTTATCGTGGGTTCCAGTGATTATGCCCCTTACTATTCAGCCAAGTAAATTGAAAATTTCTGTCTACACAAGAACTTCCACATCAATGTTTATAGCAAACTTATCCATTATTTCCAAAATGCAGAGGCAACTGAGATGTCCTTTGGCATATAAATGGATAAATACGTACATAATAGTACATGCAGACAATGGAACACTATTCAAAGCTACCAAGAAACAAGCCATCAAGACATGAAAAGACATGGAGGAAATTTATCTGAATATTACTTAATCCAAGGAGCTAGTCTGAATATGCTATGGACCATGTGATTCCAAGCCTATGACTTTTGCCAAAGACAAGCTATGGATTCAGTGAAAAGAACAGTAGTAGTTGATTGCCAGGTACATTTGTCAGCTTTCTAGTTGTTGGAACATAATATTTGAGAAGCATAAATTAAAGCATAAATCCATCTCAGTTTCCGGGGACTCAATCCATGTTTAGTGGGCTCCAAGGCATAAACTTCATGGCCAAAGGACTTGGTGGAGCCAAGGTTCTCATTCAGGTGGCAAGCAACAGAGGAGGAGCAGAGAAAGCGACAGGGAGCCCAAGACCACACCTTCATGAGGCACACAGACATACCCAGAAGTGTGCTTCACAAAACGCTTTGGTGGCTCTGAAACCGATGGGGCTGAAACAATTGAATTTAACCACCACACCAATGATTAGAAGGAAGAGATGAAAACACAGAGCAGAGAGGGATTTTTAAGGTAATGGAAGTGTTCTGTATGATACTATGGATGGTGGGTATATTTTGTATTTTTCTAAAACCATAAACTATATCACCCAAAGAATGAACCCTAATGTAAGTTACAGATTTTGAATGAGAATGATGTGTTGACATAGGTTCATAAACTGTGACCCTCTCGAAGTTGGGGGTATTATGAGGTCAAGGTTAGGCAGGCAAGCGGGGCAGGAAGCTATGGGAACTCTCTATACCTTCCTTCCAGTTTTGCTGTGAACCTAAAACTGTATTTAATGAACACAGTTCTTTGAAACTGATGATCTAGCTAAAATGCTTAGATCTGGAAGCTATCCCCCAGCATAACCCTAGTAGTAAACAAATCCTTTTGCGAGGGGAGCTGTGAATTGCTTTGAATCAATGACACTTTTTTCATAGAGTGGGGAGCACTGAAAATTTCAATACAATTCCATGTGAATAACCTCAGCCAAATATTGAGTAAAAGAAGTCTCTTATCCACCAACCTAAAACGAGACAGTAAACTACATGACTCTAAATATTTCCAAGTGTATGCTTTTCAAAAACTGGCAAAATCAGTAGACAATGTAAATCAAAGTAGTGTTTATCCTCAAGTGATAAAATCTTATGATTTATGTTAGAACATCATTTAGTGTTGCTAATGTTCTATTGAGTTTATACAGCTGGATTCCCTTAACAATCTCTACATTTTTCTCAGCATATATAACCATAATAATTAAAAGAAATATTTGAAGAAAGCATTAAATTATGACTGTTAAATGTATGTTAAAATAGGATAATAATTGTCACTTAGTTTACATGAAAGGCATATAAAATGGACTTTATTGAGTATCACTTAAATTTAAATTTCACAATGAGAATCATAACTTTTAAGTTTCAGTCATAAATTACAAAGACTATGAAAATGGTTTCTATAAATGGAAATTTATTTCTATCTTAAGTAAGAATTTAGTGGTAGGAAGTTCATGAGCACACAATATTATGTTCTACACTATAGATAGATCGATAGATAGATAGATAGATAGATAGATAGATAGAGATATGGATAGGAAGATGTGTGTGTGTGTGTGTGTGTGTGTGTGTGTGTGTGTGTGTGTGTTTGCTTCGTATTTGAACAACTGTAAGCAGCTGGCACTTTTACATCTTCACTAAAATCCTCTGGGATGCAGTTTATTACGGGAAATTAGTTTCCATTCCTAGGACATGGATCTTTTTTTCTTGCTGCCTGTAAATAGCTAACACTATAGTAACCAAGCCCTGCTTTAGGCAGCCGGAGGAAACAGTGGAGATGAAAAGACACAAAACAAACGTTATTTAAAGAAAGGTCAATGAAAGGGTCACAAGGCTATATGCATTCAGGTCATTGGCCTGTTGGGAGGCCAATGATTAGTTGGAACAAAGAATTTTGGAAAATGAAGGATTTTGGAAAAGAGTTCGTTTGTGTGGCTCCCTCCCCACCAAACAGCAGAGTCCATTTGCTCTGGAAAGAGAGAGCAGCTATTAGATTCAGCTATGGCTACAGCACAGCAGAAATTGCAACAATTTTCACGCATCAAATTTCAAAATAGCGATAGCGAACTTTAACATATGAGAGTTGTCATAAGAAACTTCAGAGAAGGGTTAGTGTGAGTTACTATTACCACACTCAGGGAAAAGATAATTGTGGTAAGTGAGGTAAGACAACATGCAACTCAGACCAAGAAGGTGTCATTAATGGGTTGTTGCTAATTTTCCTAAAAATATTCTGTCAGAAGCTGATTGCAAACACTTTTGAGGAGTGCCCAAGTTTTGGGAGAACACAAAATAACGGGGGTGGGGAGAAGGTAGGTATTTTCACAGATGCTACATTGTAGTGTTTAAATCACACTGGGTGGTAGCCAAGAAAGAGTATTTCCTTTATAAGTTGTTCAAGTGAAAAAGTCATGTTTCCTGAAAATTGCTCCTGATATACCTCATCCTTGGTAGCATGAAAAGCAAACAATATTTTCAATTTCTCAGACAACAGAAATCGTATATTGTGATTTTTAAAAATCCTTAAAAAAACAGCAGAGAATACTATTTGAATGTAATTCCTAGTAAGGACAACAGTTGCAAAGTCTTGATTTTAATCGCATCCTTATATGCAAACCATTTGAAAACATTAAAAGCTAAATAAATGCCTTTGCAAAGGAAAACGTTGCTCAACTGATTACATTAAAGGATATTTCTATTGGGTTTGGAAAAGTCGGAGTCCACGAACCATTAAAAATGTCTGCTCACACTCCTAAGTATGTCAGCACAGCCCAGCTAATGAAAGCAATCGAAGATTTTCCAGTTGTCAGAATTTATAGATAGCTGATTGAAATGATTCAAGAATCAGCAATATAAGTATATTCTCCAGGTAAGGATGCAAAAGTCTGAGGTTAATGTGAAATTGCTACTTAGAGGATAGTGAATTATTGCTCGTGGGTGAGGAGAAATGGCCAGAACAGTAGGAATGACACTAGTAGACAATCACAGTCCACTGTAGGCTGCAAGAAGGCTGAGCAGTATTATGGACCCAGTTGGATAAACTCTGAAAACTACTTTTTGAGGTAAGTTTAGTGTGCCTAACTAACCTTTAGGCAAAACCATTTTAGGTGTAGAAAATTGAACCCTCAATAGACTGAGAAGTGAAATAAGAAAAAATGGGAAATATTTTGAAATTTTATCCTTAACTGATACGGAATCAGGAAAGATTTCTGAGAACTTGGGAAAACGTGATCACATTTATATATTTGTGAAAGGATTCAATTTATAGCACTTTGATATTTGATAGTGAAAATTTCACCAGTAATCTAGTGGGTAGAAACCTAAAGTACTGTAAAGAAATTATCGCTAGCAGAAGACAGGAAACAATACGGATATCCAAGTGAAGACTTCATAGCAGGTGCAGTTTTGGTAGTTTCATATTTTGGAGTATTAAGTAGAGAATGATAGCTATGATTTTCCCTATAAATGTGGAAAGCAATCATTTGTTGGATATTAAAAGAGGTGAAGAATGAGAAGGAAAGACTCCGGGCTATTTCCCACTCTCTGGGAAGTCTCTGGAAGCTCAGAACAAATTTGAGCCCACCAAATCTGACACAATATCTGATGAGGATTTTCCTAATTAAAAAATACTTTTAAAGATGAGATAAATTATTCCAACCACTTTGTTCATTGACAGTTTTCCTTCTGGCATGTTTCTCCATGTCTACAATCCTTACATGAATTCTCATTTTTATGGCTAGCATATTTCCAAAATATTGAGAGAATTAAAAGTCAGCATTGTCCTTAGAAGGTCTTCCCTCTGGTCCTGTTGGGAATGTTTTCCCCCAGCTTCTCTGTCTTTGCCCCAGCATTTCTGGAAAGAGCTGGCCCTTCAGTAATCTGTGATTAAGAGAGAAGGGAACTTTTTGGTTTTCTTTGTATGTTTAAGTAACCAAGAATACTCTGCGGTATACCGTGCATTGCTTTCAAGTTTTTCGTGCATATGTGAGTGTATATGTGTGTGCATACATGTGTATTTCAGAAACAGAAACTGATGTTTATACTTCCAACTTTGTAGAGACATCAGATAAATGAGAAATTGGTCTAATAGCTCAGATGAATTCTCTTCCAAAGGAAATTTAGCAGTCTTAAAATAAAATCCACCTCTTCTTTTTTCTATCCTCAAATGTATAGCTTCATTTTTTCATACTGGAATTGGTAGTTGCAATAAATTATGCTTATTTTAGCATACATATATGTATATGTATGCATAAACATCATTTTTAGAAGCAAACCAATATTATCTTTATAGTGTATTATTCTTAAAATTCAGACAGAGGGAATGTAAACATTTTTAAAACAACTAACCTTATCTTATATTGAAATCCCAAATGTAAAAACAAAGACATATTCAATTCTTATAAATTTAAAAACAATTTAAATGGCTTTTTGTTTAGGAAACAAATGTCTGTGTTACTTATATGCCAATAATATTTTGCTAACATATCAAACATTTCTGAAGCTCGTAATATAAACATTATCTGTCTAAATTTTCAATAAGTGTATAAAGAAGTCATACCAATAGAAACACATTTCATTGGTTACTGATTGTCATGTTACCTTCTCAAAATACATTTTGATATGCTAACTCAGTAACTTTTTCAAAGTTCACTTTAATTAATTCACAGTTTAAAATGTGCTAGGGAGGGAAAACAGTAGAATCAGTTTCACAAGTGTGTGAGGTATTATAAGCAGCTATGAAACATTGTAGCGTTTAAAAGATATTTTGGATGTTTCTACATTGTCTGTGGCAGAACGTCATTAATACTATAGCATGGATTATATAAATACTATTTGATGATGAAGTTTTCATTCCTGAATTTATTTAAAAATGACATACTGATTTCTACTCTAGAAGGAAAAGAAAATGTTTCATTCACTTGTCAAAATCTTCAGCCAGTAAGAAAACATTTTATGCCAGTGATGAGAAGATAATTCTGGCACTCCGTTCCTAGTCTGAGGCACTTCCTTACACTGCGGGTACCAAGGTGTAACAGTGTTCCGTTAGTTGTCCTTTCTGCTCCCCAAATTCTTTGACTCCATCATCAATCAATGAACTCAACACATAACTCTTTACTGTATGTTACACACTACATGGCATTTTGTTGTGCAAAGTAAATTCAGGCATTGTCCAGGTCATCAAACCTCCCAATCTAAGTTACATTCATGTCTGTAGATCCAGTGTACCCTTTGTTATACCTTAAAACTCAGCATGAATGTTTTTTTGCAAACTACTTGGTTGTCCTAAAGGTATTTTGGACTTACGTTCTTCATTAAAATATTCCCAGTATTTACCATTTTTCAGTCTAAATAAGAAAAGAGATTAAAAAAATTACCGAGGATCAAAATACCAGAAGGAAACGATCCAGGAATAGAAATATGTTCTTTGTGAGAGAATAATCTCACTAAATGCCACTGACTACTGGCTGCTATTACACATCAGATACATATGTTACAAATCTTCTGCCACTCTCCTCTCCATGCCTCTTTAAAATACTCCTTTTCGGGGCTTCTAGCCTAAAACTACAGCTAATTCTGAATCCTATTCAATGCTCCTGCTATCACACACATTTTGACTCAGGCAAGACAGTGTCAGATGCTCATAATTATTCATAAAGCAAATTTAGTTGAGAAATGCCTTTTAGAAACCTAAATCTTGAGGACCAACTTTGGTATAAAGCCTGTTCTCATTACCATCATAGAGTATCTGTGACCACAAGAGACCAGCAAATATTGTAAACATTTATGGAAGTCAGTAGACTGTCCCCCAAAATACATACAGCCCTAAAATATCCTATGTACTTGTAGCCAAATCACAAGGAAGGTAGTGAATTTGTCTTACACAGTATGTTTACATGGGAAAAATTTGTTCAAGACCTGGAACTTCTTTTAGCAAGTTGTTGAATTCAGAAATGCTCCCCTGATTCCCTGATTGTTTATGACATTTCGCGTGTACATACTCATCCAAACACACAGTGTGCCATATTGCTCAGCATCCCCTGGAATTCCGGAAACCCTGTGTGTGCACATGATAAGTCTAGAGAACTGGAGTAAAGAAGGTCTTCTAATGCAGAGTAGTAAATCTACCTGAGGCTGAGCACAATGTTTTATCAGCCGGGATTTCCCCATGTAATCTTTCTCACCTTTTATATGGCAACACAGCCTCAGAGAACTGGGGGATATTAATATCCAGGCAAAATATCTCCAGTGTGAGTGTGATATTAATACTGAATATGATAAAAGGGAAATAGAAACTGGGAACATATGCTAACCTTAGGCATCATTTGCTTTCCAAAGCTCTGTTTTCAATATGATGATTACTTGTGCAGTAGGAAAAATGATTCTGTAAGCTTTTGGAGATCCGTAATACAAAGGCTCTAATCAAGATAAAATATGATAATATCTAGTAAATACATTATGGTATTGTTTTGACAGCACATTTGCATTCTTTGCCACTGTCCAAACATTTAGTCATAAAGTGTTCTTCCAAGGTTTCTGGGCACTAGACTTAAAAAAAGCACATATTAATTCAAACCATACAGCACATAAAATGTACTAAATATGTATGGCTATCACTCAAAAGGAGCACAATAAATTTAAATTCTGTCTGCATCTGTGAGTGTGCTACTCTGCAGTTATTTTGTAAATCTGACACATAGTTTGCAGCTCTTCTGGATTAGTGAATATCTCTCATTCATAAATTTTGCATTATTCATAGTTTGTCCCCGGAAGACTTTTCACACAAACAGAAACCATGTCCCATGAAAATATTTTTTTTCTTTAATGTATAACATCCCATAATAATAATGGACATTTTATCAAAATGAGCTGTAAAAATCTTCACGAACTGCCAGTGGTTACACCTTTACTGATGTACTCATTTGCCCTGTTTCTAGGGTCGCCAGGATTCAAAGGACCACCTAGATCAAAGCCCTGTTCAAGCTGACGGATGGCATTTTCCACCAAAGTCACTACAGGAAATAATTAGGTGCTGCCCTCTTTACCATAGCAGCAGGTATGAAACAGTAGACGCTGTTTCATTTCATTTCCGGGAACTCATACAATTAAATAGATATATTCCTTTGGATCATAAAAGTTTCTTCCTTAAAAGTATGGCCGTGCTTCACAATAGCAAAGAAGGTCAAAATTGATGAAATATGAATGAACTTATGAAAGCAAATTCACTGTAGTGATTGAGATTAGAGTGCGTGTATATTCCTGGATACTAAGCACATAATTGTAATGGTAGATTTATGCTTTTGTGGCAAAGCGCAATACATTAAAATTTAGCCTTCTCTTGAATTTTAAATGTGGATATTGTGATGCAGGACACTGACACTTACTCTTGGTATTATATGCATCCTGATACGAATTCTGATCCTGCAGTTTTGCTCAGGATTCTAGAAAGTTGATCAGAATTACCTTCATTGACTAATTTTCATCTTGCTTGCCATTTGAGGGTTTAATATGGAGAATGATCCAGTTTGAGTTCTCCAGATTCGACTCAAGCTGTCTTCTTCATTGTAGCTGGTTTATCTGTGTCAATTTTCCCCAGCAATGTCCATTTTCCTCTGATGAGGACATGGATATATGGCTGGTTATATTCTCCCTTGATAAAATTAGAAGGCTGTTCCTGGCATCTAAAGAACGGAGTCACAGATGCTTTTAAGTATCTCCTAAAACTAAGACAGCCCCACACAAGGAGTTACCTAGAAAAATAAGGTCAGTAATATTAAATTTGAGAAACCTCAATCTAATTTACATTTCTTCTTTTCTTTCCCCAAATGGTTTATAATTAGTAATAAATTTATAATAATAAGAATAACAACAATAATATAAAGCAAAAGAGAGATAAATCACATTTTAATCAGATATTTAATACCCACCATACTGTACAGGACTATTATAAAAGAGAGCAAATATATTATTAATTCGAATTTTATTTGTATGGAGTAATATTCATGTTCGTATAGATAAAAGTATAAAAACCGTAAATATCCAGTTCAAAATAGTGATAATTAGCACCCAAGTCAAGAAACAAAATGTTACCAGTACTGGAACAGTAACATTCAATATTCAATCTTAGATTCCTGCATTCTAGGTTCATATATATAAATGCCTCTTGACATAGCACCCATCAATTATAATGGAATATTGGGAAGAAAAGATGAGATTTACCAACATCATAATTCAGAAAGTTTTATTTCTTAAAGTAATGTTAAAAACTAGTTATTAAGTAAAAACAGTGACGACAATAAAACATCAGGTTACAATCTGTTTTATCATCATTTTAAACATTACAACAGTGATATATATTTTATTTACTTACAGTTTCTGTGTAATGGCAAATTATACAATAATATATAGGCAGGACTACAAGTGATTTATTTTATACTTACAGGTCAAAGAATTTTATGTTTATCATCTTAAGAGATACTGATGTAATTTCTTCCAATTAAAGCATACTGATCCTCATTTTCCTGTGATATTATACAGGTATGTTTTCTTCCTCCAGTTCTAAGTGTTTCAATTGCATGTAACATCTATGCAATTCTACACACTGAATTTAAGTGATATGTGGTTAAACAAAAATATTCATACCACATAGTGAATAATGTAGTTTTAAATACATTTGAAGGACATAGAACTGCAGCTAATATATGGCTGTTTACGTGGAAGAAAATAGGGGAAGAATGTCTTTAACTTATTGGAACCCAATAAGGACATATTGAGCAAAGAAAGGTGTGTGAGGTGGGAACACGAGGGCTCAGTGTTTTCAGACAAATGTGAAACTCTGCCAAAAACTCATCTATCGCTAGAGAAAAAAAATCTCAACACTAACCTAGTGAATCAGAAAGAGGAAAATCTAGAATTGTTTCATAACTTTCCTTAAACCCACTGTTAAAGTTTCTGAAATCTTTAGGGAAGAAGAATAGGAAACAGATACCAGAAGCCGTACTCTGCCCTATATATTTGGGTTCCGTTCTTGTGTACCTTTTGTTTCAGAGCATCCTCATTAAAAATATGCTAAAATAAAAACAAAAACAAAAAATACCAGCTCTAACTTTGTGCATTTCTCTCTCCCAGATCACAGAAATGCTGTCTCAGTTTTTAAATCCATTATTCTGAATTCACGTAAGCACACAAAAACAGTATAGGGAGAGATCACTGTAGGTCAGTGTTCCTACAGGGAGAGTTTCTGTTCAAAGTTTTAGCTGAAAAGTGGAAAACAGGTTTCTCTGACCGGGTCTTTTTCAGCAATTTTGAATTAAACAAAATGAAACAGATTTCTGCAAGGTAGGGCTCTTGTAAGGAATATGCAATTAAAAAGTCCCCAAAGGAAACACAAAGTAGACCATGACTGTGTTGTGGTTTATATCTCAGTATCTTCCTAGAGACTTGTGTATGTGAGGCCTTCAGAAGGTCATTGGATCATCGGTCCATTGTAGCTGACTTGCTGTTAGGACGCAGGACCAACCAGAAGAGGCGGTTACTGTGTACACAACATAGAAGGTTGTGTCTCCCTTCCTGGTTCCTCCTTTTGCTTTCTGTCTACCATGCTGTGGGCACTTTCCAAGCTGTGTTTCTCTTCCCTGCTTTTATACCTTGGAGCCAGCTGATAATAGACTGAAACTTTTTACAAAAACGTGAGCCAAAATAAAAATCTCCTCCTTGAAACTCTTGGTGTCAGGTATTGTGTTTGGCAATGAAGAAAAAAAATGACTAAGATAGAATGGATACCTTCTCATCCAATTTTGAAAGAATAGATAGGAGATATTCCTTGTCCTGGCACAGCAAGAGCTTCAAAGTGTAGAACCAAACCAGAAGAGCCTGGGAATGTGGCTTGCTGAGAAGCAAAATTTTTGTTGCCTATAAGGGTGACATAATTATTTTTTAGACACTGATAAAGTAAGGCAGTGGTAGGAATGAGTTTGCCTTCTATTTCCTTTGGTCTGGCAAAAACGAACCTACATAAACTGCCAGGAGCTGCGTGGGTCAGCTAGAAAAATGAAGGGAATTAACGGCCACCTACTTCTCTGTCTCCAGCTTAGTGTTTGTTTGTGGAGTAAACTAAACCAAAACAGAAGATTTATGGACCTGCCTGGTTTGTGCTTACAAGTTTGTGATTTCTGAAATATTGCTAATCCAAATTAATAATAAAGAGAAATGCATGCAATGTTTTACATATTTTTAAACTGTTTATTATAGTTTGGATGTTAAATGTCCTCCAGTGTGACGATACTGATAGAATCTCTACAAAGTGGGCACCTATTCACCTATTCATTGCTATGAAGCCATTAGAAAAACCCTTTTAAATGAAACTGAGGCACTCCAATTAATTCTTATTTCAATCTTTTGCCTCATTTTTATGGTGTGAGCAGATTTCTCCCACCATATCTCCTACCATGAAATGATTCCTTGCCACAGATTCAGAAGCTGTGAACCCACTGGTCATGGAATTTCCAAAACTGTGAGCCTAAATATGCCTTTTCTCTTTATATGTTGGTTACCTTGGGTAATTTGTCACAGAAAGCTGAGGGACACCAGTGAATTAATCAGCTGTATATTTCAATGACAAGCTATAAACAAGCATGTACACAACACACGCACACAAACACATGCACAAACCAACTGAAAATCTATCAGTAATAGACAGAGAAAAAAGAACTGTCATGCAGTTGTGATTGCAGTTTTAGAAGATAAGCACTTTTTAAATTACCTATAGCTTTATTGTACAAACAGCAGCCAGGTATCTACGTGGTTGGCCCAGAAATTTTAAACTTTATAAACATAGAAACCTGTACATAACAGTTTGTAATATATTTATTCAGAATCGCTATAATTGGAAACTATTGTGGCTTGTGCTTGGATGCCATAGGAGTTGTCTCATGTGGTCATAGGTGGGGCTTTTCAGAGCTGGCTGGGTCTAGGATGTGTGATGCTGGGATTGAGAATTCATGATTATTGATTCAGTCCCCTGGTTGTCTTGGTGTAGTCCTGGGTGTGATAAGGGAGGGCCCTTTTTGGGTGTGTGTGCTACCCGAGGTGTGCAGCCTAGACAGAATTTAAGGGCCAGAAACAGAGCTGCGGTCATGGCCTGTTGCTTGCTCCCCTCTACTATGACACTGCTTTGGTGCCTTGTGCCTTCCATGAACAATTTCTCCTCGGTGGTGTCCCTTTGCCATGGCACCTGCTTGGAACTATTCAGGTACGAACTAAAACCTCTATATAGTGCTAGGTTGATATTTCTATTATTCTTGCATTATACAGGAGCTGTTAACTTTTAAGGAGATCCAGTAACCTGCCTGTGGTTGAACAGATAAAAAGCAATGAAACTGTGTTTCAAAAATCATCATCTCTAGAACCAGAGGTTTGAAATTCAACTCTGCTGCTTCTCAATAAACTTGTTAAATAATGAAGACATTATCATTTTTCATTTATGTTTATAACAATCTTTTATTCAAATTGTTTGAGATTTTTCAACAATATCAAATTTTATCTTGATTACCATACATTGTATTCATGACACGGATATCTGTTTGTCATTTGACTAGATTAATTTGGACGTAAAGTTTAAAAATTATTTTAATACTCTAAAACTTGATTTTTTAAAATCTCTGTTATTTATTTCACTATATCTTGTGAAGAATATGAATTAATTATTAACAATAAATTAAATTTTTTGTGTTTTACTAGATATTTATCCCTTATGGATTAGTAATGACCACATTTAATTTATTAAATTATTTTATGAATAAGAATATTATCTAAGAAATTCCAAATCACTGATCAAAACAGTGAACGATATGCACTCCAGAGTCTATGTAACATTTCAGAGATCAAAAACTGTTATCTTTTTCTTTGTAAAACATAAGGTTTACTGATCTGGTTTGCTTTTCCAAGATAGTAGTTAAATCTTGTAAAACACTTTAACAGCACTGGTCTCTTAAGATCTTCATTATATTGTAATTGCTGTAAGAACCACAGAGATATTGATACATTCTTGCAAAACACCTAAATTTCTGATACTATGTGAGGTATATAGAAAAATACAAAAAATATATGTGAAGTTAAACGAATTATTGCAAATCAAACAACCCTATTGACCAGCAAGCTTTCTTATAAATCTGCCAAATTACTACTCTATCTTTTCTTAAAGGCAACCACTGCTTTGTTTTTTAAATCTGTAAACTAAGTCTGTCTAATTTCTGACATGGTGTATACAATGTAAAATTTATAATAGGACAAATACATATATATATATATATATATATATATATATATATACACATACATACATACAAGATGATTCTTGAGCATATCATACAAAAACTAAAAGGTGTTAAAGAACAAACGAATATAAACTAAGAATAACAAGGATGTAACTGACAATGATCAAGTGTAGAACAATTGATTAACAATAATGATAATAAAGTAGTATAAAATTATCTCTCAAGGAATAAAATACATATTTAAGAGTTTTGACTAATATGAACAAATGTGTAAATAAATTGTACAGAAGAGACAAATCTTCCACTTTAAAAAGAATCACAAATTGCTGTAACTGCTTCTAACTGTAACTGCTGTAACTGCTGTAACTAACTTCTAACAAGGTAGAGCAGGAAAAAAAACCTTAATGTTTTAAAAGTAGATGATGCAGAGTGATTTTTCCCTCAAATATCAGAATACAAGAAGGTGAGAAAAAAGAGCACCCTCAAGCAGAGAAACCTGACCAGTGTTATTCAAAGGGGGAATCAAAGCTTACGAAGATATCGACCTTGGCATCAGGTGGTAGCGATGATTCACTGCTCCAAATATATAATCACAAGGAAAACACCTGGAGAGGCCAGGAGAGAGAGAGTCCACACACTCCTCGACACAAACCTCCAAACTGTCACGGTCACCCACAGTCAGGCAGTCAGAGTGCCTTCAAGACAAGCCAGGAGGGACATGAAGACTAAATAATGCATGACAACGTGACTATGAGCCAGTAACACAAAGGGACATTACAAATAAACTGCAAATATCTGAATGAACAATGAATTTTAGCTTAAATTATGTATCGAATTAATTTATTAGTTGTACCCAGGATAACATTGTATCTAAGACAGTAATAACAAGAAGTAAGTATGGAGATATGGAAATTCCAGTACTGCATACAGAATAATTCTGTAAATGTGATTTTTTTTCTAAAAATAAAGAGTTTAAACATAAATTGATACAAAGACCCAGTGTGAATAAAAGAAATCTTTAGAGACATTTTATTTTGCCCTTCAACTTGATTCTAGCTAAGTTCCACAATAATTAAACAATATCTGCTAAAAAATTCAAGCTTACTTCACACTATGTACAGTAATTATATTTATAGTTTAAATCACCAAAATTGTGTTGACAGCTTTCTGTGACCCAATATGTTTAATTTTTATAAACTACTACATGTGAACTCAGAAACTGTATTTGCAATTATTTATTCAGTGGTGTGTTTTGTATATTTTTTTTAGAAAAAAATGAAGAATTGTCATGCTTACATTATCTGTAGTTTTGCTGTTGGATCTTTTAAACACTTCATGAGTTAGGAAAAGAAATATGGTAATATCTCCTGAGTGATATAGATGTTTCTACTTCTCTTTCCAATTATGTAAAATGTAATTTCTTGGCAAATCTATTCTTTACGTGTTAAGGAGTAATTTAACGCCTCTCCCCTGCCTGAATTTATCCTAGCTGTGGAAGTGCTCTACGTTTAATATTTTCACGCACTGCCATTATCTTTTTTCTTAAAACCTTGACCCATTTTTGAAATGTTTCTATTTGAGCTATGACTATTTAAAATTGCACAAATAATTGTTTTCAACCTTCTTTGACAATGCTTGCACTTAAGTAATTAAGCTGTGCACACTCGTTAATTCAGACATGGTTGAGTTGAACTCACATTTTGCCTCTGTCTTTTTTCTGTTCCAGTCTTCTTCTCTTGTTTTTTTTTTTTTCCTTTGATTAGTTTGCAGTTGGCATGCTATGTATATATTTTTGCTATAGCTTTATTACTCATCTAAGAGATCATAATATTCATTCTTGCTTTGGTAAATTTATTTTTATTTATTTTTTTCATTCTTGCCTTATTACAAAGTACAAGGGTTTGAGAATACTTCACCTGCGTTTTTACACCTTTCTGGCTTGTATGCAAGGGTTAAGGGGCTGGAGATTTAGCTCATTGGCACAAGCACCCACCTGGCAAGTGCAAGGTTGTGAGATCGATCCCCAGTATGACTCCCCCAAAAGAAAAGAAAATAAAAGGGATGATTGAAATACATGATGAATACTCACATTTTAAAAATTGATTATAGTAAAAGACACCTTTGCCTCAAATACTCTCCTTTGCACTAAGAACGCTTATTACCTCATGCTTGAGACTTTTGCAAACAGTTTTAGAAATCTTCTATCATGAGTGTCTTTATGAGGTGTGACAAAAAATACTGGGCATGCTGCTGCCAAGTGTCATCCAACAGAAAGGCAGGATCATAAAGATGACTGCTGGGTATGGCCTCACCTAGTTTATTCACTTGATCTGGCAACTTGCAACCTCTTGCTCTGTTCTCAAGTCAGATGCCCATGAAAGGTGCACACCTTGAGTCAACTTAGAATACTGCGGCAGCCAAAATGGCACAGCTAAAGACAATCAAAAGAGAGGCCTTCCAGAACTGTTTCAGAAATTGGCAACCATGCTTGGGTTAGTGTGTTCTAGAGGAAGGAGGCTGAGTGATGTGTCTTCTTACTGCATTCAATTATTTTAAAAAATTAAATTCACTGAATTTTGTAAATATATAATTTTAGCTGTGTGTCTGTGTTAATATCTAATATATAAGGCTAACATTGCATTACTCATCAAGGGTAATTTATATTTACCCTTATCTTTAAGTTTCTAGTGTCTTCATTCTTTCTTTCTCCTCCATCCTCCTCTGCAGGCACTTTTTGGAACTAACTCTAGAAGTTTGATTTGAGCCCTCCAATAGTAAGGCCTACCTGACGGTAATATGAATAAAAGAAAGGCCTCGATTCAATTTTTTTTCTTTCTTGAAGTGGATATGACAACATATATTATGTATCACAAATCTCAACCTTCAATATGTACAGCCCTGTATGAATGGGTTCTCACGAACTGAGCTACCCAACCAATATAAAGATCTAAGACACCCTGCCCTTAGCCCTTCTTCTGGGGGTGATGTGTCAGTGAGAGTTCATCACTGTAACAAACCACCTGGGCTTACTGGTGAAGAGAAAAGATTCCTGATGGTCAGTTTGAGGTTTCTATGGCCAGGCACTATGGCAAGGAGTGGGTACATAACAGATCATTTTAAGGACAGAAAACAAATAGAGAAAGGCCAAGGTTTCACTCTCTCCTTCATGAGCACAATCTCCGGGGACCTAGAGATGCCCACTAAGGTCCACTTTTTAAGGATTCTACCTCGTTCCCTAGAAACCAACCATGCAGTCTGCAGGACTTGGAGGATGTCATGGTTTATGTCTGTGTCCCCCAGACCTCATGAGTTTGCATTGTGCATTTGTGATTGGTTCATTGTATAGTGCGTGGTTGATGGTGTCAGTGCTCCACCCACTTAGGGGTGGAGCCAGGATGTGGTGTAATGGCAGGAAGAAGGCGTGTCTTACTCTTTGCTGGTTCTTGCTTGCTGTTTGCAGCCACCATGAACTGCGGCCCAGCATGCCCGCCTGCCTTGGAGCCAACTAAGTGTGGACTGAAACCTGTAAAAACTGTAAGAAATAAACCTTTCCTTTCCCAACTTGGGCTTCAGGTATTTTGTCTCAGCAGCGAGTAAAAAGTAACTAAGACAGAGAATATTCAAGGCCCAACCCACATCAAGTATAACAGTGTCGGCAGGGATCCTTTTTCTTCTTCTTCTTCTTTTTTTTTTTTTTTTTTTTTTTTTTTTTTTTTTTTTTGTAGAAATATTGAGTGCAGTATCTAGATAAAAAGAGAGGGTTCTTTCTTACATTGTAACTTCTTGTTTTTATTAGTGTCTGTGTAGTCTTTGGAAATTTTAAATTTTGTGCAAGCAATGGGTGCTACATGCAAAAAAGAAGATGAAAATAACATTATGTACAACATACAAATCTCATTACACATTTTAAAGCTCTCACTGGAGTGGGGAGCACATATTTGTTGTTGCTTTTACTCATTTTAAATAGTCAGTATACCTGGGCCTGGAAGAAATTTCTTATTCTTGTAGTCATAAAATTCCTGTTTAGCCTAGTGTTTCCAATCTGTTTAATCAGAGGAATATATCCTCTGGGAGAAGAAGCTGATTCTGAAGCAAAAATATCTAAGTTGTTGAATGAATTTTTATTTAATATCAAACACAATAGTCTGAAAGGAAAGAATTTTTGATTTGCGTTCAGCAGGGTACTTGAGAAAAATAAAAGTTGGTCATGAATTTTAAAAAGGGTTTGACTTGGTTGGATGCAAGGCAGCTTACAAGACAAACCTGGATTTCTGCTGGATGAGGGGAATCTCCATAAGGGAAGAGCACAGAATAGGGTGTTGGGATAAATTTTCCCATTTCACAGAGAAAAGAGATGCCTGGGTGAAGACATGGTTGAATAGATACAGATGGTGTAAGAAGGAATCGTAGAATTCAGCCAAGTTGCCTTCACCAACTCTTGACCTCTCGGGTTGTTTAGTATTTAACTTGTTGGGGTGAAACTCTGGAATATGATGTTTAGGGGCTTGGGGATAAACGAGAGTGGGCTTAACTTTGCCTAAGTCTCTGAAAGAATGCATGCACTGTCTGAGTCTTCATTAAGTTGATATGTCCAGAATGGGGCAGGAATTTTGGCCAAGCAGAACACAAGTGTCTGCTGCTGCACCCAGATCCCTTTGTTCCAAGGTTTGGCCTAAGTTCCGCATGATTCAGAAGTCCCATGTACTTGGTGGAGAACATGGAAACTCAGTTACAGCTCTGAAAACCAAATGTCCTTAAATAGGTGAATGAGGCAGAGCAAAGGACACATCGTTTGGATTAGAATGTCATCCTGCCAGAGTTAGACATCATTTGGAATTAAACAACACATCACAAGGCTTGCATCACTGATGTGTGTTAGGGTAATTGTTTCCTCAGAGAGACGCAGATAGAAACGGCCAACTGGCCAGGCACGAGTGTTATCATTTGCCCTTTAGAGGAAGTGGAATCATGAGTGACAGCAGTGGTCACAGTGGAAACAGGGACGGAACTGACCATCAGATCAGCAGCTGAGAGCACGTGGAAGCAGAGGGCACTGCCTAGTTCCTGTGATGTTAAACAAGCTTCCGCTGAACACAGTACACCAGTGCAAAGCAAGGGAAACACTGGGCGGTCAGGTGTGAACCCTAAAATTATGGTCCCAAAGAGACTGAGTTAACTTCCATCAGCCAACTTATTTCTAATAAGTAAATTTAATTACATTTGACTGTGGGCAGAAATACGAATTCAAGAGCTAAATGAATAACAATAAGAGAAAGAAATGTAATTTTTATCTTTGCGTATTTGAGTGCTGAAAATATGAATTGCAAATCTGCTTTCAGGCTGAAAAAGGAACCAGCAATATCTAAAGCGTTTTCTCTGAGAGAGGCACGTTGCATATGAAAGCGCTCTTGAGTTTTCACACCAAACATATTGTAAAACATGATTATCACTCCTCCAATTGACTTTCAAATTCAGGGTAGCCCAACCTAACTTTAGTGAGAGAATAATGAATAATTTATGTTCATTTTCCTTCAGTATTGTAGAATGCAATGTAGTCGTTTATCCATGCACGAAAGACTACCCTAAAAGTCATAATCTAAATTTCTTCAGCTTTTATTTTGTAACCTATACTTCACTTTTGCTTAAACTGTATGCTTGTTATTCCTTGAATTGAAAAGTAATCTCTTAGAGAACTTTATTAGATCTATCTTATTTTAATAAAAGTCTTAAAGAAAGGAAAAAGCGTGCAACCAGTGTGCTGACAACTCCAATTTATTTTCCATTTTCACAAACAAATCAGCAGTAAGGTTTCCAAGATCATTCTTCACATTTGATTACGTAGCATAATTTCTTTTCTAGTTCCTACAACTGAGATGTTTTCATTTGCCTTTTCTCTTCCTTCATTGTCTTTCTGATTTGTACTTTTTACTTCTCATAATTTTAATTCTAGTTGCCTTGCACTAACTGATACATATATTTTGGTCTTTTTCCTTTTTATCAGTAACAGGGATCGAACTCATAACTGCCTGCTTGCAAGGCAGGCGCTTTATGCCGCTGAGCTAAATCCCCAGCCCCTGCACTAACTGATATTTAGTGCTTGATGACAAAATATGTCATTTAATTTCCTTTTAATAAGTTCCATACTAATACATCAAACTAAATTTACATATAACATTTGAATTGATGCTTGGGTTCTGTGTTCAAATGCATACCTTTAAAACTACTTCTAATGTAGTATTTGAAAAATATAAAAGTGAAATTCCTTATATTTTCACTGGCTATAGATAACTGACATTGTTCTTTTTCATTTATCTTATTTTCTATATAATGTTCTGTTAAATGTTTTCCACTATGTCTTCTCTTAGTTTAACTTCTTCATTCTGTGTTTTATAAATTTAAAGTTTATAATGTGGTTGTTTTGGACTATATTCTGATGATGGAAATTTTGTAATACATAAGCTAGCATCATCTACTTAAGAAGTAGCTTGCTAGTCTGAATTTAGAAACATATATAGCTTTGAATTTTTCTAACTGCTTAATACCCTTCTATTTGACTGTCTTTAAATCCAGTATATATCCAGTGATAGAATGATAGCAAGTCAAGGTAGAATTTTATCAGAAGCATGTTTGGTTTCTGATTTGGGGAGAATTCTTGTTATTGAATGTCACTTAATAATATTCAAATTTTATCTTCAAAATGACTGGAGAAGAAAAAAATATTCTATTAGTACAATACATGCTTAAAGATTGTGGAAAAGCACAAAAGTAATGCTTCCCAAGGGCAAATGTTGAAGCATCTTCAGTGTCTAGATAGAGGTTGATTAAGATGTCATAGCCCATTCTTTACAGAATAGAATTCCTCCTGTTTGATAACACGGTCTAATGAGTGGTTTTAATCAAAAAGTAAGGAAAAATGTCTGAGTGCTGAATTGAAAAGTGAATGAGAGTGGGAAAATAAAGGTCTGTGTTTTTATACAATTTAAAGGAGAATAACAAAGGGCTATATTTTGGTAGCTTGAAGGAAGAATAGATGGTTAAAAAAATTACAGCTCTGAATGACAGTATGACAGGCTGCCCCGTGCTGCGGTAACACCGCTGGGTTGTCAGGCGTGCAGCCTGAGCTAGCCACCACCTTCCCTCTCATTTCTAAGTTTTTTGCCAAAGAAAAAATAGCACTCTGGGAGTAAATTTTCACCAAAGGAAAAATAGTGCTCTCGAAATAGAATGCTCATGTGAAAAAGGCTTAGTTCACTCCAACTTCTATACTTTATCAAAACCTGACCCCTCAGGATCTGTGAGGGTAAAGTATAATTCTCCTACGTGCTTTGTGGTAAAAAGCTGGAAACATTTGAAAATGGCAGTAGATATTACCAAAAGGAAGTTTAGATGGATGTGCAGCATGCAGGAGAAAACCAAAAGCAGAAAAGCCAAGAGATTGGGGAGAGATGGAGTTCAGGGCTGAGCTACAGGAGCTATCTTTTGCTGAGGAGAAAGAATGTAATACAGAAACAAGTAAGGCAGAATGATCCAAAGTTGGCAAAGCTTTTAATCAACAGTCTCAGTGCTCAATTATAAAAGAAGCAAAACCTGGCTTACAATGAAGGGAGTCAGGAGAGAAGAGCTCAGTTAAAAGCTGTGACAAATGGTCCAGCAGTTGAGGATGAGAGTGAATGGGGAGGACTCAAGGAAGCAATGTTAAGTAATCCTGAGTACTACGCACCCAGAGGAGGTTTGGGACGGCCCTTTTTTTAGTTTTCAATCTGCATAGACACAAAAGTCACTAAGAAGCAGAACAAAGCAAGTGACATTTATCCAAGGTCCAAAGTTGAAGGCATGAAAGCAGATAAAAAACTGAGATGTGAGACTTTGTGAGTGTGGTGAGAAGGCTTTGAAGACACGGGGCATAATAGCCTGGATTTCTTGGCGAAGAAGGAGAAATATTGTCGATGCTTACAGAGTGGAAGGGAGGGCCCATGGGGCCTAGGACTGAGGATTGTGATCAGATTTGCTCTAGTGGGGAGGCCAGGAGTGAAATGACAAGAGATTATGATGCTTATGCATACAACTGCATCTACCTGTCTATCTATCTATATATCTATCCATCGATTATCTATCTATCTATCTATCTATCTATCTATCTATCTATCATCTATCTATCTATCATCTATCTCTCTATCATCTATCTATCATCTATGATAATGTAATTCTGCTTTAGTAAACAGCTCTCTAATTGTTTGCTTTGACACATTTATTCCTTTGAAGCATGAATGGCTGAAAATGGTATGGATTGTGAGGTTGTTTTCATGCTAAACTCTTTCAAAGCTACGCACTAAGGTGTTCTGGGCTCCTGCATCTCCTAAAGCAGAATTATTTGCCTTGAAATATGAAGGGATCTTAGAAGTTTTGGAAAGATGCACACTACAAGATATAAGTTTGAGGATTATGAGACCAGGTCAATTTCACTTTCTCCTTTACCATTCAAGCCTTAAATCTTTTCATATAAACATAGGTCAACAGATAGTAGGAAGGGGAACAAAACAAGGATTTAAGGGGATGTGAAAGGGATACATATGTGTTGTGTGTATCCACCAATTACCCACAATGAACATCTTCACTAAGTACCACATACAAATACTAATAAGATAG